GGAACAGCTGAACTGACATTGCAAGGAATCAAAATGTACTGGAACTGGAACTCTATCCCCAGAGCGCTCTCATGACTAACCATATTTTCTCCCTTACAGACCAAATCAAGTCCACACAGAATCCCAGCACGTGACTTGTCCTTTGACTAGTTGCGAATATTAATGTAACCAAATCCCACTTGTTAAATGGTTTGTATATTGTTTGATGGCTGTGTCATTTAAAGGAACACTCCAAGCACCATAACCACTGAAGCCCACTGTAGTGTTTAGGGGGCCAGTAGTGCCCTGGCGCTGTCACAGAGTAAGATGTCTAACCATTTTTAGTACGGTATGACAACTTACCTGGACATCTGTATCAACCACATGTGGTTTTCTACAGCAGAAGAATCGGGATGTCACTGCTTGGAGTAAAGCAGGACTGCAGTCATTGGCTGAGAGTGTTAGCAGACGTTGCTCTATAGCATATTTCAGCTCATCCTGACTAGGGAAAAATTCTCTGACCAAGTCATTTATCATGCTAGGCAACTCTGGCTTAGAGTTTGGGATTTGGTTTTAAATTCACCAAAGCTTAGTCATAGAAACGGTATGGATCTTCACAGATCATTTTATTGTAGATTTACAAAGGAGTTGTGGGAAATTAAAAAAAAAATATCTATGGGTCCCCCTTACCTTACCCATTACAGAACATGAATCTTACCTCTTGCCTGGGGTCCTCGGCAAATCTCTGAATTACATATTTCAGCTCCCTGTAAAACCAAGTGGCAACAGGTTAATTTATGAATTTGGAGATTGCATGATTACTTTATCAGTCAGAAAACCTGAGCAGAAACTTCAGATATAAAGCACAACAATGACCACTCATACAAGGATATTTAGAGGGGGACAAAAATTGAGAACTTAGAAACTGCACATTTTAGGAAAAGTAACAGAATTGGGAGGAGGGGGGGGGGGGCTCTATTATCTTTCCAGTTTAAACAACTAAAATGTGCAATTTCTTTCTCAATTATTTAATTCCTGTGTAGTAAAAACTCCTAACAGTGTAAAATAATGTAAACGTGCAATTATTTTCTAATATATTTAGAACCTTTTATTTGCCAGTTGTAAATATTTTTAAAATATACATATGTACACAGCTTAGAATATGAAGTCATTCTTTAAGTTTGTTTATCTGTGCATCATTAAATAAAAACTGTTTGTGTTGCAATTAAAATCTAGTGAATGGAAAAGATGTACTAAGAGGTGACACCAGCTTTTCTCCCCAAGGAGAGATGTCTCACGGGTGTGTGTTCTGCAAATCAAAATGTTTATACACCTACTTACATAACTGGACTGCAGTAAGAGGCATTGTTTATTCTACTGTTTGAATTACACACCCTGGTGTTTTTTTTTTTGTTTTTTTTTTTTTTACTAAATTTGGCATTTTGACCAAAACATTTAAATTCTCTTTGATTTCTGAGAAATTTGCTATTTTGGCTTAAAGTTTTACTATCACAATGAAATCATTTAATTGGTGACAAATCACATTTTAGTGAATAACTTTGAAAATGTTTATTCACCACTGACTGATAATTGGGTTTGTCAAGGAGACATGAGCCTTAGACAAACTGCAAAGATTTAGGTCTAAATATTGAAGCACAATTTCGCAAAATATATTTTGTTTGGATTTTTTCGTTGCCTTTCATTTTCTTATTTGTAATTTAAATTAATAAAAATCTGCCAGCCATTTATTCACAAATGCCCATACAAGTACCGTGATGTGTAAAACAAAGGCTTTTAGACAGCCAGACTGTTAATCTAAACATGGATTTTTGACATCTATAATCTGATTTAAATTCAATACTCACTTTGTGAACGTTTCATGGGCCAAAGCTCTGTAAACAACAAAAACACATACACAGGTTAATACACTCTCTCTTAATAGCGTGTAATATAAAATATATTTACATAGTAACATAATCACACTGGTTAACAATTGAGCAACCAAAAAGGGTAATATTTTCATAGATATGCCTGAAGGTGGTTTGTTTGGACAAAATTAAATACTTTTTGAAGACTATATTTGTGAAGTCCATCTCTACTGACGTACAGTTGCCCATGAACTCCCTTCCAGGGGAAGACCTCCTCGAAGCTGAAGATAACCTGCTCTCCAGAATTGTCCTATCGTCCTCAGTGCTCGACGGTTGCTTGCTTGAGACAGAACGTCCTCTTCCCCATCCCCACCTTTTTTTTTTTCTTTTAAAGAATCTGAAACTAGTTCACGTGTTTTTTTTTTTTTTGCTTTGTTTTTTTAACCCTTTTCCCTTTTTTAAAGAAATATAAAAAATACAAACAGGTATTAGGACCTGCTTTGCATGTGGCAATTTGTGCCACTGCTTATTGTTAATGTGATATGCCTCGGCTTACTTAATTAACTATAAAAAAAACAAAATAAAAAGCCAACTAATCTTGAGCAAGCTCGTGACTTCAAACAAGGATAATTGAAATTATGCCCAAATCTTACAATTCACTTAAAGGGGGACTTTTGCTTTTCTGGAAGTCACGCCATTGAATAAAACATTGAAAATTACCTATATCATGTGTTAACCCTTTTTTCTTATTTGGTGCTCAGTTTTCTTTATAATGTACATTAAAGATTTCGCAAATGACATCATAATCCAGTTCAGTCCTGGCACAGCCCCAGGGCACAAAATAAAAAAATGAAGAGGAAAACAGAAACATTGCTTATATTTCTATATTCAGTGGCAAAAAAGGGCAACAGTTATAACAATTATTGATGGATATCCAAGATGGATGTTTCCTTTTAAACATGTCTAGTTTTTGAAATTTTGAAAATGTTCAGGGCTATTCTTCTGCATGGCAGTAATTTGGAAACCAAATTGGAAAAAAGCCAAAATAAATTTAGGAAAAAATGTCGACTTTTTTTTTTTTTTTTTTACCCCAACAGCATGGTTTTTGGCTTTTATTTAGTTAATTTTGCTGCTTGGCTATAATTTCAGCGACATTCACTATTTAATGACTAGGCCATGTATATTTTCTTTGTTTGTTGACTATACCACTCATGGATTAATTTTACACAAATTAAAGCGATGAAGCAATTTTCTAATCCAGGTTAAATTTAGCAGCTCCACATACTTGCGTGGTGCAGATGGACTTAACGTTAGAAGACCTCTGACCCCATATGTACAGCAAACTGTATCTGATGACTACTTTAGATTTGTCAAAGAACCCAAGTGACTTAATTAAACCATGGCCACAGCTTCGATGATCAGTGTGACACAGCAATTATCGTTTAAAAAAATAAAAATTGCATCAGGAGTGGAATAAATCATTCTCATGGGTGATACTAAAGTATATAATTGTCAAAGTGACGACACTTTGTTTTTACTGGAGGTATTTTGAACACCTGAACTTGCCGTGTATGCTATGATTGTTGTGTGTTCGCAGAGTAGGCCTCATGGGTACGATAAGCTTTTAAATTGGACAATTATTGATGGTAATGTTTATTCTCTGTAGTGCAGATTTTTTTTATTTATTTTTTTAACACAAGCACTCATTAGCCCGTTCCTCAAGGACTGTAATCATTCCAGAGGTGACTATTCAACACTTCTGCTATCAAAACATCTACTGACGAACACAAACTTTCAGTGCCGTTAAAGCATACCTTCCAACATTTCAAATAGACAAAGAGGGACACTTTAATTTTAGGGGTATAGTTAAGGTGTGGTCAGAGGCAGGGCTGTTCTGCAAAATGTTAACCAACTTATAAATTACATTTTAGTTCTAAAAATCAGGACAAGAAATTATTATATATATTTTTTTAAATATACACAGACTTTTTTCTAAACATATCTATTGTTGTTTGAAGACTCAATACTGTAAGTATAATTCCTGTGGAGCTCTGTTCTAAACTCAGACATCCCAATTATATGGAACTGCTAGAAAAGAGGGACAGATGGATTTGGGCCCAACACAGGGACACTGTCTCCTGAATAGGGACACTTTTGAGGTATGTTAAAATAAATTGGTGATGAACATCCTGCATAGTCGTGTCCAAATTGTCAGAAATTCAACGTGAATCTAACATTTAAGGCCAAAGTAGCTTAAGTGGAAACATAACTGACTTTGGCCTTAATTTTTAAATTACTTTGAATTTCTGACAATTCTCACTTTAATGAATAACCCTCTATGCTTTTGAAAAAAAAAAAGAAAAAAGGTTTATGCAAATGCAGCTAAAGCAACGTCAAGGCTGGAGTTAGTTATTCACTGCCCTGGTTGCAGAGCTCCACCGCCAGATTGTAAAGTCACAACCTAGTGCATACCAGCTGATTCAGCCTCGCTCATTTTTGGCTTAACTTTTTCATATTTCCATAATGTTCTGTCTAATCGTTTGTTAACACTTGTGTCATGTTTTGTTCTGCATTTGTTGATGTTTGCCTCTATCATGAATGGGTAAATGGTAAGCACTTTGGTTGACCAAAGCCTCTAGATCTCCCTTATGTGCTTTGAATCTCATAGTAAGTGTACGTAGTCTAGTTCATCTCACCGCTTGAATATGTATTTATCTCCGCTCCACCTCAAGGCAAATGTCTCTCTCAGTGTATTCAAAGACACATAACCGTATTTTGCTTCATGATAGATTCTCCTTATGGAATCAAGACTGTGGTGGCTCTGCGAGTTCTGGATCAAGATGACAAGCTATTTAATCTTTTCTAATTTGTACTCTGCTACCATCATCAGCAGAGCCTAAGCTTACCTAAAACCAGGGAGATTTACATAGCACAGAGAGAAATTGGAACCATCGTTTCTCTCATGTTGTTACGGAGTTACAACCCACCTATGTGTATTCTGAAATGAAGCATTTGCACAATGCACACAACTCTACTTTGATATTTAAAATGTCATACCCTAAAGCAGTGGTTCCCAACCCAGTCCTCAAGTACCCCCTACCAGGCCAGGATTTAGGGATTACCCAGTTGTGTTTAAGGTGTTTTTAGAAGTGTAAAGAAAGGAAATGGACTGCGAAAAATAAGACAAAGAGGGAGGGAGACCAAGAAAGTGAGGCGTATGAAAGACAGATATGCCTTACTTTCCAGGTCTCCCTCCCTCTTTGTCTTATTTTTCGCAGTCCATTTCCTTTCTTTACACTTCTTCGCCTCACCCCTCTTAGTCCCTATACATCTTTTTCATCCTCCATGTTCGGTGTTTCTAACGTAGCTAAACACTTTATGATCAAAATTCTTGGCACCCTCACACTTCTGGCAACTTTTTACAGTTTCCATGACTACATACATGGAGATGACATCGCGTCATCACGCAATTACGTAATCACGCACACTTCACTTCCGGGTTTCGAGCTCCATCCACTCACTCTCATCACCTGCACTTGGTAAGTCACTTATTATTCATTAATTAATTGTATATAAACCCAACATATGCACTGTATTGCCGTCTTGATAAAGACCTGTTTGGTCGAAACGTTGATCCACATTGGCAACATTTTGAATACACTACTTTGATTTGGAAATCCATTGAGTGCTCTCATCATTGATACATTTCATATACTCAGCACGGAGCAGCACCTTGGTGTAAGTTATTGTTTATGACTTCAGGATTGAGTGCCAGACTTACTATTTTTTTTGGTTATATATATATATATATATATATATATTCCACTCCACTGTGGTTTCCCCTATGTTCTGTTTTTTTTCTTGGAGACTTGTGAAGTATCAACTAGAAAAAGTATAAGTGCACACAGTTTGGAGCCATCATTTACTATATGTGAGTGTAATACCACACCACTTTGTATGTTTACGATTTTCAGGTTACAGACTACATTATTTTATGTTTATTTTTATCTAACATGTACAGCTTGTGCTGTACTCACCCTAATGAGTTGTTAAGGGTAAGCATCAAGATTTAGCACTCCAATAACCTTTTTGAGTAGTTCTCGCATAATGTTATTAATATATAATAACATGGCGTATCTCCAACAGCATAGTGGGGAGATCGCAGATAGCAATACGAAAGTCGTTCTCACTGACAATGTATAGGCACAAGGAAGCGGCGTAGGGTAATATTGAAATTGTAGTGGTGAAAATGTAGATTCTAACAAGTTGCAGCATTTACTAATCCCATGATGCCTTATCACAAAGGTGAAGTTCTACAACATCAGGGGATCTACCTTTTGACCACTCTGGAAGTAAGCAGTAGGTGTTTTAATGGGGCAATATGCATATGCAAACCAGGAAAACACTACACAACATAAAACACACTACACAACATGTAACAACAATGTGTTTGGGTTGTTTTTTTTTGTAGATCACAGTTTTGGTTTTATTTGTCTCACACCTTGAGTTTGTATTTTGTAATCCCATTTTATTGATTCTCATTACACGTCCGTATGCTACTTCACTTTAACGCATTTAATGGAGTATAAAAAAAATGTGTTACTTACTCTTTGGGGAATGGGATAGGCTGCAGCAAACTGGCCAGGGCAGGCCTCCAGTCATCGTAGTCTGACCTACAACATCAAAAAACAGAATTAGGGGAAGGAATACTTAGATGGCATATATCTAAAAATTAAAAAAAGTCTATATCATGCCATCATGCTTTTTGTCTTTTAAGAAAGGGCGGGGGGGGAATAACAGCCGAACCCTAAAGAGCATCACGTTATACTTGAGGTTTGCATCAGAGTCCTTTTTTTTCCTTATATCACACAGTGTGGCCTCACTGAGCTAATTAAAGGGACACTCCAGACTTCTAATGCACATCAGTTTGCTGAAGTGTTTTATGAGTGAAGAGTGTGTCAACTTTTTTTCATTTTACAAAAACTGCAGCTTTCAATAGAAATTGGCACTATTATAAATTAACCTTGTTACACCCCATGTCTGTCAATCAGACAACCGGTCCTGTCACTTCCTGGAGTTAAACCCAAGCTTGAAACAATTGCACAGAGCACCAGCATTGAAAGACTTCTTATTGAACTGTATTGGGCTGAGAAAGAAGGGGAGGGCTTGCAAGGGCAGCAGACAAGATTTTTTTTTAGCTTTGCATACATATATATATATATATATACACACACACACACACACCACCAATGAAAAAAATGAATAAATAAGTGAATGTATCTTTTCATTGGGGGTATATGAGGGGAAGTGTCCCTTTAAGGCCATGATCCCCAGGTCAGCCCTTAGATGGGCTTCAAATGGTCCGATGCAGACAATAGATAGCAGGGCTTCGTTTTCAATCAGGGTGAGCATGTTTGTAGAGATTTCAATCAGGGGGCTTGTCAGTTCTTGAAACACATGATAACAATTAAAATGTAATAAAACTGTCAGTCAGTGAGTTGATTTTGGGTTTAATATTTGCATTAAGACACAGCGCTATTTAGCCAACATATTCCACAGAGCTGCCTCGCGTGACTTTATATAGTCCACAGAACCGTTATGTTACACTATGAAAGGTGATCAAGTACAAAATGGATTTCTTGCAGTGATTAGATTACATGGATCGAACAGATGGGCAGCTACGGACTTACGTCAACCAGGAGCATATTGAATTTACATTCTTGTATATAAGGACAATGTTAAAATAAACACTGTAGAGTATAATTTGAGGGAAAGAGATCTGTGAAATATGTGTGTATTTCACGGTTCCTGTAAAACATCACATATATTCATGTCTATCTCACCACAAAACAGATGACAGTGTCACTGTGGTACCGTGACATTTGTCAACTAGTCACTCTTCAACCTCATAGAAAGCCAAGCCTCCTGTATTAGCACAACTTTTCAAAAATGAAAAGGACAGACCAGAAACCTAGTCTTGTCGGGGCTTAACGGATCTTGCATTGCACAAAGCCCCAAGATACTGTTAAACTACAACTCCCAATATATTTAGCCAGCAGTAACAGTAAAGTGATATCACAGCCTGTGCATTTTCTTTTGCAAACATGCTGATACAATGTATGACTTTACATGAAAGAAACCACCTCATCAGCTTGTATGTCTGCTCATGGATCACTTAATAAACTGTGGAACATGCATCTTTTCAACTCCACAACACATTGACAAGACAGCAAGGAGTGGTGAGAGTACAGTAATGAGCCTTTAAAAATTAAAAAAACTAAAACAATTAATTGCTTCTAAGAATATGTGTGAGCTGCTTAGGGGTCCCTGGTCCATACCATCCAAACTATGAATCTGCCTAATGTTTAAATTGAAATCATGCAAGAAAGTGATGCTATTTTTACCACCCAAACATCTTCACATTGAAGCCTAGACAGCATTTTGCTAGGAGACTATACACACACACACATGTATATATACACACACACACACACACACACACACACACACATACATGCATATATGTACAACGCAATATAAATAATAAAATTATATATACATATAGAAAATTGATTTTTAGTAAGTCTTGTGCCTCACAGTCCTTACAAACCCTCGCAATCTAACCTACTCTATGCAACTTAGAATATAGATAACAGCCACCCATAGTGTTTAGTAATAACCCTCATTTTCTACAGGCTGCTGTATTCAGTAAGTGTTGTTCACAGAAAGAGATCACTCTTCTTCATATTACAGGAACTACTGCAGTCACTACCTGCACTTTCAAGTTACAGTCACTTCCGTTTATGCAATGGAGGCTGCAATATTCAGTAATTGCTATTTGAAGAAGCAGCTCGCCCACCATCAGTTTAATTACACCTTTTCCTAAAATGTAGAATTATTTCAATTACTTGCTAACTGGGTGTTATTACTAATCTTTGTAAAACACCCAGGATAAAGAGATCATTATAACAAAATGTAAACCTGAGTGACTATTTTGAGTGAGTCTCCTATCATGTCTTTATAGTTTCTTTATTTTCACATCCCCAGTTTTATATCCGTGTTCTACAACCAAGGGGTAAAAGGACCACTCTGGACTGCTAAAGTATGTACTGTTCTACTTTGAACTTGAAATGGGTTTTGTGCCGTTTCTTAGCAACAGGTGAGATTAGTGTAAAATCACAGGACTACTGATAGTTTTGAATCGGAGCCTGGTCCTACTCCTCCTACCCGATCATGTTACAAAGAATGGACAACACTGGAATGGAAGACTTAGATGGTACAGGTCATCATGCATTCCACCAATCTTAGAATTGTATCAGCCTACACTTTGTCTTCCGTACACCACAAACAGTGAAAGCAAAGCCTAGAGCTGTGACTATGAATGACATAGCAAAAGGAATTCTCATGCATGTTTGGATCTGCTGTGTTACTTAATTAAGATATTAAAGGTTACACATAGAAAGAAATAAACACCCTCATTCACCTCGCTCACTGCCAGAGAAGTGACTAATGCACATCTCGAGCATTCAAAGAGTTTATTTCAAGGAGCTAAAAAATCCGAGGTGGGCTGGATGGCTATTCCAATCACTGCCAAGTTTACGGATCCCAAAAACCCTTTTTAATGTTGGTCACCTGCCAGTTCGTTTTTATTTATTTAATTTTTTTACTGCTGAGATTTTCCAAGCATTTGTTAAGGTCACGTCACCTTTGATATGTGTTTTAGCTCAACCCCCACAAATTACATTTTTTTTTTATCTTCCTGACAAGTTCATGCTCCCTCAGAGGCTTAACATTTTAATCTGTGTCACTTTGAAGAATTTTACTTCTTTTAAGTTTCAGAGTCATGAGAACAACTTGAAATAGGAGGGGGAGATTTTTTTTGCAATGATCTTTACAAATATTTCTTAACCCGTTCTTGAGGAGTAACCTACACTTTTAAAAATGTAAAGCAGAAGCATATTTAAACAAAAAAGAACAAAGAATTTGGACAGAATACTGCATCTCCTATATGTGTCTGTTTGCTATTAATCTGTCTTTGAAGGCCTCTAATCCACCTAACTAGAATTCAATGTGGCTATGGATTTTAATACCATATATATAGATTAGATACAATGAGGAGTGGTACAGTCATAGCAGAATCACATTTAACAAAATGGAATATGTATTGGATTAGGATGGAACATATTGTGCAATTTGTGTAGAAACAAAGATTCGATAAAGGAAAAACGCGTCATCATGGTAAACGCGTCAACAATCAGAGATGCCACCTCATTGTCAGACCATGTTAAATAAAG